ATTGGGTCCGACCAGAGAAGAGTTGGGGGCGGCGAGTCTACAATCTACATGCAGCCTTGGGCTTGGGCTGGGCAACGCGGCCAACAAAGACCATGCCAGGACCAGCTACCATAGACTCCTATTGGGCTTAGCTTAACCGTTTTCCAAACTCCTTTTGGGCTTTTCTAATTTTTTTTATTATAATATTCTTCAGTTATTTACCAGCTTAAAAATTATGAGCTAAAATCTAGATAATAAATAAAAGCCGAATGATGAAAACTGTTGCTCCATTTCAAATTTTCTGCAACGAGAGTGATTATAGGAAGGACATTTTGGTTTTCACAATTGCTTATTTTCTTATTTATTTATTCATAAAAAATGCATGCACTGGGATTTGAACCTTGGTCTCTTTAAAGGCAAGCAAGGATCATAACCAATCACACTAAGTATATTTGTTGTATCTATTTAAATTCAAACATACACGAACCTAAATTATGAAAATCATATGATTTTTTTAACGATTAGTTGGCCACTGAATCTCCCGTAAGTACTTATTTGGTGTTTTAATACTTTGATTATTTTAGTTGTAGTTTAATACTTAATTTAAATTTCTATCTATTTTATAAATATACAATAACCCTAAAATTGCAGCCCAAATATCACTGGTTCGAATATTGCATATCGAATTGCAATATTAAACATGTAGAAGCAATATCGACTTCTTAAATTAATATTATTTTTCAGAATTACTATGGAGAAATTATATCTTTGTGCAAACTATATGAGACTGGTTCTTTTAATGTTTTAGTCGGGATAACCGCTACATTTTAAACTTCTTCATAATCTGGCATGATTGGATCCAATGATCATTATACAAGATTGTGTTTAATAGGGTGGCTCATTTCACCACTTTTTGGCGTGTTAATGAATTTGTAGGACAATGACAGGTCTACATCTACACTCATCACAATCTACACATCATATAAATGTGAAATGAGAAAAGAGGGATTCCATTTCAAATTTGATGCGTACAGAGCAATTTTTTAGGGGGTAAATTTAGAAGATGCCAGTGCGGTCGGTTTGTTGAGCACGAAAGTAAAAAATATGTTTTCATTTAAACGGGCCCAAACTGTTATTTGACCCACTAATCGTGCACCCATCGCCAATGCAGTCAAATTCGGGATTTTGATCGTAAAATCGTAGGATTTTAGGATTTTACTTAGGGATTCCGATCTTGATTTTACTATAAAATCGGTGGACCTTAAAATCGTTTAAAATCGGGATTTTGATCGTAAGAGAACAAAATAGGTGGTTTGAGCCAATTTAAAATAAGTATAACTGTTTCAGTGGAAAGGGCAATGGAATCTTCTCAGATATTTTTCTATTAGAAAAATATTCAAAAATAATAAAAATAACCAAATTAGGGTTCGGTTAATCTCTTTCCCTTCACCTCATTTAACTTATTGGTAAAACACCTGTCCTAATATTGGAAGTATGTAAGAACTAACATCATTATTAACTAATTAATTTATTAATGAATATATTTGTACCAAGCCACTAACATTACTTATTTTATTGGAGTTCAATTATTTTTAGTTTTAAATCATACTTAGTAGATGATGTCGAAATATTACTTTGAGTTAAACAACCTAGACATAACATGAAAATAAGAGCCAAACCCATGAACTATATCTCTTCATCATTAATTATTTTGAGTTACACATTAAATAACAATTAAAATAGTGATTTTGGAACATTAGTCTTGAGAATTATCTTATGGAAAATTTTTTTCTGAATTATCATTTTAAATGCTATGTGTTTTTGTAATATTAATAATTTATCTTATTAATATTCTTATATGCTATGTTCTATATGGTACTTAAAATCCTACGATTTTACGATTCGATTATACGATTTTGATTTTACCCCAGTTTTCAATTTTAGGTAAAATCTCGATTTTAACTGCTTTGCCCATCGCAGCCTCTCCAAATCTTCCTATTCTACTCGCCGGGTCATCTCCTCCACTACAAAATATCTCCTTATGTACTCAAAGTTCTCACTGAAACCTAATATCTACAACTTAGGCGCAGAGGGAGCAACCGATGGATTGTAGCGACCCCCACTATTTTGATAGCTAATCAAGAAGAGCGCGTTTGTTTAGTTGTATGGTGATTCACTTAATTAAAAAAATTTATTCCATTGACAGCCTCCTCTCCGCAATTATATTGTGTTCACGAAGATCTGAAGGCGCAAGTGCAACAGGTCCAGGGGTAAACAATATGTATAAAGCGTTGGCCAAACTGAATTGAGTCATTCTACTTGGAATATGAAGATTTTTGCTTAATTGCTTTGGTTCGTGATGCAACTATGTTATGTTTGAAGGTAGACCAACGCAAACAACAGCACAGCTCCAGGGCTATTCTGCACATTAGGTAGTTGGGGCATTAATTGATAATTATTTGGGATTATTCCTACAAGTACATAATTTGGAACGTGCCTTTATATTGCATTGATTAATAGTTGTTTGAGATTTTTCAAATGAGTGATTTGACATGTTAAACTCTCTTATTTTTGAAAATGGAGTCTTCGAAGTGGAATATGAAGATTTTGGATTAAGCTTGGTTTCGTAACGCCCTTATGGGTGTTTATTCTCTAAAATGCAGCTGTCTTTCAAAGTTCCCGTTGCAAATGGCAAGTCAGGATACAACGATGGTACCGGTACACGTTTATATCATTAGTAGGTAGCAGATTGTGTCCATTCTACTATATCATTTAGCTAAATACTTAGTTGTTCTTTTCAACTAAAAATTATGCTTAAATGCTGTGATTGGCCTCAGAAATGTATGTCTTTGCATTTACTGTTAATGATTGTGAGTTTTGGTTTAATGGTGAAAAGTCCATTTATTTTCTTTTTAGCTAAATTGGGCAAACCTATTGGACAATAGGAATGCCATACATTAGTGTCGTGGGAGGTTTGTTTGATGTCTCAGGGTGTTAGATTTTTAAGAAGGTTGTTTGTTGTGGCAGAGAGTCCCTAAAGCTAGCGAGGTATTCCTATGTGGGCTTTTTCTTTGTTTGACTTTTTCTCACCTTTTTTCTTATCTCTTTTTCTATTTTTGGTTTTTGTGTGCTACCTTCAGTTGCTACGTCTTCATTTGTGAGCCATCTATACTTTTCTTATTTAGTGCCTAAAAATCATATATACTCGATTGCATAGTAGATACTAATAGATACATTTATACCAATAGAGAGATTTTAAGTTTTATCAGTTGTTAGTTTTAATATTTACTTACATTTGTTGTTTGTGTAGTTTTCTTTGTAATATTTCTCATTATACAACTAATTACTATGGCTACGTAGTTGTATAAGTGGGGGTTGGACATGATAGTTCTTAGAAGCATCAATACTTGAATGTTATTATAATGACCAAATTCTAAAGTTATGGTTTGCCTTCAACTTGCTTGGAGCATTTCAATTATGCATCAATTGTTCTCTCCGTTTAGTTAACTCTCAGACAAATCGAAAATCTTGCTGATATGTGCTTGATTGTAGTTAAATTTAGGGTTCTACTGCATTTAAATTTAGTTTACTCTTTTTTCGTGGTTGAGTCTGCTTCAAAAAATTTAGTTTGATTTTAGAAAATTTTGCTTCTGCAGTCCTGTCTTGCCACCAACGCGTTCAATAGATGGAGACGGGAGAGGCGAAGGCTATTTTTGTGTTGTTGTTGCTGGTTTAGGGATCGGTTTGTGAAGATGAGGGAGAAGAGAGGGGGAAAGGGAAATGCAGGAGAGGGGGATAACTCTTTTCTCAGACAAAAATGGAGTGAAGAAAGGAATTATGATCAGTAAGAATATGGTTATCTTACATAACGGTCTCTATTCTGTTTGAATTGAGCTTGAGAGGCAGTGATAAGGACGAGCTGCAACCAATTCATAGTGAGAAGAGAGCTATGAACTGTGATCATGTCTTATTTCAAGTTAGAAGGTAGTTTCAGTATAAGGATTATTTAATTTGACAAGTTGTTTCGTCCATGATTCTTTGTAGTTTCATTGCCATTCTAGCCAATGTTTAGTCTGTAATTTTTGAGAATTGATGTGCGAGTAATGACTTTCACTTAGCTTCAACTATTATGTGTGTATTTATTGGCATGTGATAGAATTCTCTTTTCCTTTTCATTGAATTCATTTTCATACTCTAATTGTATTATTTGTACATAGGCAAATCATGCTCGAGATGGCAACTCGCTGATATGGATGGTGCAAGGAATGAAGCCATCATTAGAATTCAGACCGACAACGGGGAGGGATGCCCAGGACTAATTCAATGATGATTGATGATGGTATAATAAAAATTGCAATCTGCATCAGCACCAATTTCTAGGCCTAAGTAAAGGTATTCAACCCAGAACTCTGCTTAGCGCTAAAAATTGCCCTCACCCAACCTTGATCCTGTTTGACCCACTTCTGAAGAGTCAAGATATATGACTAATCCTCCCCGTTCGTATTTGACTATTTTCTTATTGACTCTTTCTGACCCTGTAGGTTGGGGCGGGTCGGAAAGAATTGGATTAGTGGGTCGGTCCTAATCAAGTGGAATCCCAATCCCTTCACTCTCACTTGCTTTCTCTCCCATTCCACAAGTGGGTAACATACACTAATCCGGCCAACGGGCCGGGTAATAAGCTAGTATAAAATATATAACCGAAAACGAATATAGCTAGGCAAGTCGGTTAAGGAAAACACATGTCGACGATATGATGGGTGCGCCGTAGCAGAGCTGACACGTACCCCAGCTCCTTCCACGTATCAACGCTGCTTTTCTTCTGTTCGTCTTTTTTTATTTTATTTTATCTTATCTCGTTGGCCGGCCACCTCGACTATAAAACTAACCTGGAGTGGCCGGCATCCTTTCCACCGCCCACAATAGATCAAAGCAATCAGTTCAGAACCTTATAACCCTGCAAATTAAAAGTTAGCCTGAAAACCAACCACAGCTAATATGGTGGGCGTGGGAGCGCCGTTATGCGTGCAATGCGGGACGAGGAGCAACCCGTGCCGGTGCAAGGTGGTGGGGCCGACGGTGGGGTTTGTGGCGTTCGCGGTGGCGGCGGTGGTGGAGTGGCCGCTGGGGGCATTCGTCTACATATTCCGGCACCGGAAAGGCAGGCGGATCATGGCCCATCCGGCCACCGTAGTCTACCCGTCCGTCACAAATGCCATCCCCATCTGATCATCTCTTCGGGAACACACTACTCTTGTACTAAATTTGACTTGTGCTGTGTTTTGTCTCCTTTGTTGTTTTGTTTAATAAATAATATATTGTACAATTACTGCTCTTCAGAAACTGTTATGTTCTTTGGTTGGGAGGAATAATCAAGCATGGTCCTCAGTCATACTTCCATGGATTTCTAATTAATTTTCCTTTTAATTGGATGCCGATCGATTGGCACCAACTTCCTTTAAACCGCCATCCACATATGATATGTTGCTTTGCAGCCCAAACTCTTGGTCACCGGCCACAATTATCCTAACACTATAAGGGGATTGGGGCAGGATCCGGTCACAACCCCCTTAGGGGTTGTGAGTTTCACTTCCCACATTAGAGTCGTCCATCTCCCTTTCAAATCCGACGGCTATCAACACAAAAAGGGTGTTTTGGGAAGTCTTGAGTTACCTTTAAAATAAAAAGGAAAGAAAAAGTAATAATAAATATAATATCAATGCTGAATTGACGGAATTAAGAAAATATAGTAAATGCATGGGGAATATTGGTATGCGTGATTTGTGGGATTCGATTAGCACTAACCATACCGCCCATGATGGTTCCCCTACCATTTTCAGATTCTTCATCTTTCAGTAGAGGCAACGTAGGTAGCCTAACAGACTGGAAGCAACGTTGGAGCAACTTCTCGTTGACGCCGACATAATGAACGGCGACAAAGATTTGGGGGGATCCGACGGGACTGGTTTATTTGGCTTCATCGCGACGACAACAACACGACATGAGGAATGCCGCCTGAGGCAATAATCTCGGTAGGGTTAACTAGTGTGGTTTCGTTGTAGTGGTATTAGGTTTTTTAATGTTACGACTGATGGAAAGATAGAACGGTACTAGTAGTATGCTTGTGCTATTATGTTAGTATTGGTAGTGGTAGCTTTGTACTGGTACACTTGTAGTGGTAGTTTTTGTACTGGTACGATTGTATTGGTACGCATGTAGTAGTAGTTTTGTACCACTACAAGTGTAGTTATAGTTTTGTACTGGTAGACTTGTAGTGGTATTTGGGACAGGATACAGTTTAAATTGTCAATTGTGACAGATGTTTCATTATTCTGATGAGATTTTCTTACCCGTAGAGTATTGTAGTGAACTAGTGCTACTTACTTGTACCACTATTATTGATTCCTACTAGTAATAATATCCAGTAGTGATACGACTTCTGGTCTCTGATCCCTACTAGTAATAGTTACGGGCACATATACAACTATTGGGGAAATTTGCCAAGAGTGGTTTCCGATCCCCAACTTGTGGTCTCTGATCCCTACCTTTACTAATTACCTGTACGGATACAATAATCAGTAGTGGTACTTGTACATGAACCACTATTGTTACTGGTACAATACCACTATTCCTTGATATTACTAGTATTACTAGAGAGATTTGTTGTTCAGAGGCTTTTGATACCAATACCACAACTATTACTTGTACCACTATTAGTACTTGTACCACTACTGATCACTTTGTGATTAGAAAAACAAGTTAACTACTCTTGTAACACAACACCATATTAACTGATTCAACAACAATCCTATTTTTCAACAACACATCTGGTTCAACTTCAAATTTGGAATGAAAATGGAACTAAAAGGCATACCACTACTAGTTTCACAACGTCTAAAAATTTGTTCTTACTCCATAATGAACACGAACCAAACGCATACTACTCAGACTGTGGAAACAAACTACTGCTGGGTTTGCTGGGTATATCCATGGAGTAAACCCTCCTTCATCCGCAAAGCTCTACCCATCACCTCCTCCACCATCATATTACTTGGGTCATCAATTATAGTATGGAACCTTTGTTCTCACCATTCCTGGTAGCAAAATAACACAAATACATTAGTCAGACATGTTGATTAAAACTTACAATCCCAACTCCATATAAAGCCTGTGATACAGTAACGGTGGTAGTGGTACCGGTATCTCACCAAGATATACCAATATTACTAGTGGTACTTGTATCTCTCTTCAAGATGAACCAGTATCACTACTGGCACTGGTACCTCCTTCGCTAGTGGTAGTGGTACAACGATCACTAGTAATACTTGTTCATGTACAACTATTGGTACTGGTACACAAATCAGTTGGTGTACTGGTACAAGAACCAGTTTTGGTACTGATACCACTACCACTGGCAATAAAACAATTAATTCTAACTACCACTAGCACATCGATACCAATTCCAAGTACCACTGACTATACACAAACAAACAGGATACACAAGAAACGAAGGTCTGCATCTTCGTTTCCAACGTGCATGACGACCAGTTGAACCCAGTCAATGGAAAATCAACCGAGCATAATTTTCAAACGACGAGAATTCAAAATAAAGGAGTGTAGGAAATAGAGCTGAGTTGACTTACCTACACTCTCGACGAACCACCCTTCGAAATCACCGGAGACAGAAAGCGAGATGGATGTAGGTAGGAAAACGGAATCTGCGGCGGAGGCAAGGGGCTTTCCCTTCTTCTTCTTAGGGGTTTTGGTAGCAGCCAGAGGAAAGGGAAGAGGGATTATGGTTGGCGAACTGTTTTTTGCGGCGGAAAAGGAAACCGTCGACAACGTTATCTGCGGCGGAAGCGAGGGTTTTTTCTTCTTCTTCTTAGGGGTTTTGGTAGCAGATGGAGGAAAGGAGCTAGGGATGATGGTAGGCGAACGGTTTTTACCGGGGAAAGTGGCTAATTTGCCTCCGGAAAACCATCCCCTTCAAAGCCGACGATCGCGTGTCATCACACGTGGAGTGGGGAGGGAGCGGATCCAGTGCGGCTCATCCCATTTTTACCCCTGGTTTATATCAGCCGCCAGATCAAGAGAACGGGGGATCTATGGCTGTAAATGGGGAAGCGAAAATCACAACCCCTATAAGGGTTGTGACGCTATCTAAACCCAAGGGGATTAGGGGATTTTTTTTAAAAAAAAAAATTATAAAATTAGCACCCAGTCAAAAAAATTGACATAAATAGTTTCATTTTTAATGAAACGCACCCCTAAGGTGCGTTTTATAAGTAAATCGCACCCCACAACTGCGTTTTACTTATAAACCGCACCTTCCATGCCACGTCAGCACGCGAACCACACTAGAAAGGTGCGGTGTGCTTTTTCTGCGAAACGGTCTTGAAGACCGCTGGATGAAGGCGCGATCGGACGGCGGACCGCACGCCAGCTCAGCGATCCGCGCTATGGATCGGGGACCGCATCTGCAAGGAGCGGTCAGCGCCTCGGGAATCACAGACCGCATCGGAATGGTGCGGTTTCGTTAAGGGGAAAATTACCACACCGCCCCTGAAGGGTGCGGTCTGAATAGTATAAATACCCCCCTTCCCCCTCTCATTTCTTCACACCACAACTCATTCTTCCCTCTCTCTGTAGAATTATCTCTCTAAACCCTCCCCTCCCAAAAGTCTAAGAAATAGTGGTCTGTTGGTTGCGACTAAGTCCGATCTGCCATCAGAAAACATTTCTTTGGTTTTTTCCTCAAAACCCGCCGAGCCGAACGAAACTCTGCCCGAATTTCCGGAAAAAATGAGCGAGTGGTGGCAAGGAGAGGGAGTTTATGTTGATGAATTTCTAGCGGTACGTACTCATTATTCTGGTTTAATTTTTGTTGTTGTTATAAGCTTTTTAATTAATCTATGTACTAACCTCGTTGTTATTTTCTCGTAGGTTGGGGACGACGTGGATATATACAACCAACGGTATTATCTCGAGCAAGGACCGTTGGATCCAACCGACTTAAAACCCCATTTCCTTAGGCATGTATCTCTTTAAAAAGAGTCTAACAAGTGCACCACTCTCCTGATTACAAGATATTGTTAGCTGACAAAATTAAACGGCTAATAGAGAGCTTACCAATCCACCACAAATTTTCAGCAAGCTTCTTCCGCTTGAAATGATGGTTCCAGTTGCTCTTGAAGTGTCGTATGCACCACCTTTGGGACCACTTCCAGGCTGGATCTAAACCTAAGATGGCAGCTCTAATGCCGACGTGCTGATCAGAGATTATTGTCAGGTTCGTCCTCCTAGTGACGTGGAGCTGAATATGCCGGAAAAACCATCCATAGCTATCAACATTCTCTCCCTCAACAATGGCGAAGGCTAAAGGAAAGACTTGTCTGTTTGCATCCGCCCCACTGGCAATCAGGAGAGTGCCCTTGTACTTGCCGGTAAGGAATGTACCATCCACTTGGATCACAGGGACACAGAAGCCAAAACCACCAATAGATGGCTTGAATGCCCAAAAAAGTCGTCTGAAATGGCGTTTGTTACCTGGCTCTGGGGGTTGTATCTCTTCATCTTGGTATCGAGGGGTGAAAATAGTGTCAGGGTTGGACGCCTCCAATGCCAAAATTAACCTGGGAAGGAATGCATATGATTCTTCCCAATCACCAAAGACGGCTGCCAGAGCTTTCTGTTTTCCATGCCACGCCTTCTTATAGTTAATCATATAACCATAACGACTTGCAATGTCAGCGATTATGACTTTCACCTTTAGGTCCGGATCTTGCTCAATTAGATGCTTGATAGCCGCAGCAACCACCCTGGATTTCAACTATCGATGGCCTTGGGAAGTTATGGATGACACACATGTGTGTGTATTCACCGCACGGGATATGACCTAGTGGCCGTGTCTCTTGCTGTTGATGGCCCGAATCCTAACATTGCACCCCTCCTGATGATTACGACATCTGATTATGAGCCTTTTAATGTTGGAATGAGTTGTGTGTCATTCAAAATGCCGAGTCATTGCTTCAGTCTCAATGGCGTGCCACACCTCCTTCTTCGAGCCAAATTGTTGGCCCTTCATAAACCCAGTAAGTGGATCCCATACTGGGACCTCTGGCGGCTCCATGTCGCTGTCGACCATCTAATTGTCGTCTGGAATGTGATTGTAGTAGGGGACTGGTACACGGTCACGAGCCACCTCATCATCATTATCTGAGTCTGACTCTGGTCCTGAATCATCAGCACCTTCAAGAGGATCGGAGCTGTCTGCACTGACGTTGTTCTCTCCTTCTTCATCGGAGGGGTCACTAACTGGTGCTGGCAATGTAGTCAAAATCGCGTTTTAAAGCTTAAAAACTTATGGTTTTAC